TGATGGGAGTTAATTAAATCAACTCTGGGTGCATGTGTGTGGGGGTCTGAGTCACCATGGCAACTGGTAAATACGGAGAAGAGCATCTAGTTGACTGTGAAATATGAATGTGTGTCAAAGCAAAGTTTCTTTAAAAAAAACAAAAACAAAACAAAACAGAAGAAGTAATTTCAGCAGCGTCCACACAGTCATTATGTACCCAACTTAATTTCAAATAATACAGGAATTCTACCAGAAATGTGAACTTGTGTTTTAGGTCTTATTTTTTTTCAGCTGTCACCTAAAAAAAATACAGATCACAACAAAAACTGTTTGATACATCTGTATGAATAAGGAATATAATTGGAGCGTCAGACAGCTGTTTTAGATGCAGCAGGAGGGGGGAGGTCTGCAGGAGGGGGGAGGTCTGAGAAAACGTCTGTGTTTGTTGGAGAAAACTTGCCTGTGCAAACTTTGTTGATTGTGTTTTTCTCAACATGACTGAAGATGACAGTCCATTCTTTGACCATGACATGCCCACCATGAGGAGCAGCAGCAGCAGCAGCGAAGGCCTGCCTCATGTGATCGGCCTTAACTGGGAAGGCTCTGTGGAGAGTAACGAGGTGAACACAAGAGCCTGCAGTTTGGACGCAAACTGTTCGTCAGTGTCTCGTGATAAATAGTTGCATCTTTCTCCATCAGGACTCTGACCAGTGTAAAAAGAGCAGCATTCGCAGAGTAAATAAGGGTCATCACTCAAAAGGCAAGACTCGCCACGGGAACAGCGATGGAGCTCACTCCAGCGGGACATCAAACTGTGGCGCTGGTCTTCCGCCTTCCTACACTGGCCCAAAGGCATGTTTGTGTTTGTTCAGGTTTCAGTACGTTTATTCAGATGTCCTTGAGTTCCTGGCAAAGAATAAAATCTCATCTTCATGTAGGATCTGGCAGAGTTCTTGGAGCAAATCGGCTTCTCGAAGTATCTTCCGTTACTTGAAGAGCAAGACATAGACCTGCGGATCTTTCTCACCCTGACAGAAAATGATCTCAAAGAAATAGGGATTACGTAAGATGCTGCTTCTTCCTCTTTGTGCTCTTCCCTATAGGGGTTGCCATAGCGGACCATCTGCCTCTGTCTCACCCTATCCCTAACATCATCTTCTGCCTTCTGTTTATTTTTTCCTCCTGCCTGGCAGCTTCGTCGTTTGCATCCTTTGTCAGTATATCCACTCAGGCTCCTCTGCTCATGTCCAAACCATATCAGCCTTTGTGTCCAAAACTCTCACCCTGACCTTTTCCTTTGATGTACTCCTCTCTAATCCTGACCCTCGTGGTCACTCCCAATCATAATTTTAGCATCTTCAGCTCGGCCTCTTGTCTTATTGTCACTGTCACTGTCTCCAAACCATACATAACATGTCTCAGTACCATCTTGTAAACCTTCCCACATCATTTCAGATGATCCATGTTTGTGGTCTCATGTTTTGATACTCTGTTCTGTCCTCCAGTCTGTTTGGACCCAAACGCAAAATGACTTCAGCCATTGCGAGGTGGCACAGCAACGCTCGACCACCCAGCGATGCTCTGGAACAGGCTTACGCCGACCAGCTCGAGGCTAAGATGCAAGAGATGGCCATTCAGCTACACAAGGTAAACATGAAGCACTGCAAGTGTGAGATTTGTGACTTGGGTTTTTCTCACCTTGCTGAAAACCTTCTGCATATGTGTTTCTCACGTTCGCAGCGCTGTGAGGAGGTTGAGAGCCTGCAGAGCCAGGTGTCTCAGGAGAAGGAGCTGCGCACAGTAATGGAGGGATGTCTAATGGAGGACAAAATGGCATGGAAGAAGATCCATGCTGAGTTGGTGGAGAACCACCGGCTGGCTCAAAACATGAGTGCCATGCTGGGGAAGGAAAGGGCATGCCGCGGTGAACTGATCTCCTGTTTGACCACAGATGGGATCAGCAGCTCTGCCACTGCTGGGGAAGGAACAAGTGTTAAAGGTGAGTTGAGGTGGACTGTGCTAATTTTTGGGTTTACAAACGGTAACTTTTTAAATTTAATTTTTGTAGCTGGGGAGGGAGCGACGCGTTCCAGTATTCAAGAGCTGATGAAGAAGATGGATTTGTATGAAGAAGAACTGGGTAAGAAGGTTTAATACTCAGTGATTTTAAGTGCTTTAGTGCAGTGACTCAAGTATAATGGCGTTGCCCGCGTGTTACATCATTACAGCTGGAAGTCTGCAAACGCTGCTTCAGAATCTGAGGCGACTGAGTGCCCCAGAAAAAGTCTCAGATAGCTGGGAACGACCCTAAGCTTTTCAGGTGACACAAGCTCGCTTGCATAGAAGATTTGAGGAGCTTTTTAGCATCTGAAATAGCTGAACATAATTTGCTATTGTCATATTTTTTAAGGACCTTTTTGGAGCACTTGACGGAGGGTGATTCGCCACCCTGAACAATGTCACTGAAATGGGAGAAGGCCAAATACGAGGCCAGCCACGCCAGGGCCAGAGCGGCTCGGAGGAGCGAAGCCTCTATGCTGATCATCTGGGATTGGCTGATGGGCCAGAGCTCGCCAGATGTGGACGAGGCTAACAAGGGCGGCGCAGCTGCTGCAGGAAAACGACAAGCAGGCACAAGGGTACCTGACCCTGACTTGCCTGTGCTGGTGTTTGTGGACTGCTGTAGATAGGCTGTGAAAATGCGGTGATGGAGGGCACAGAGGTGATGGAGGGCACAGAGGTGATGGAGGAAATCGTGGATCAGGGGTTGTAATACTGTGATATTTCTACGCAACTGTACTCAAAAGTATGAAATGTGGTTGAAGTGATGTTTATACCACCAGATGGAGAGTTAATTATAAAAGCAGGTTAGTAGTCAAACTTAAAATGAGCTCTGCAGTTTATTTGAATGAAATCTTGTCATTTGTTATGTTTTCGAAAATAATGTCCTGCTGAATGCCTTTTAAAGAACATTAGAGAAGATATTAAAGTGGGTCTATTATGCACATTTCAAACTGCGTATTTTGGTTATGCAGGAGTTGGAATAATTTTTGTATATACTGGACCGCTTTAGCCTATGCTTTTGAAGACACCATCCAAGGTTTAAACATGAGGCGTGAGGCTGCTGTACTCACACGCAGGTCTTTGTATCAACAGAAAGACCCAAGACTGAAAGATGTGAGCACCCACTGTGGTAATAGTATGATAGCACACACAAGGAAAAGCATTATAGGTCCTTCAGTGTTACAGCGATGCATTATTACTCTCACAAGTCTTCTAATTCTGCAGACATATGCATATGTAGACACTGAGCTACGGAGACCCATAAATCCCCAAAACTAAAAAGAATTTCTGTATTTGAATATCAGTTAAAACCTGCCTACCTGTACAGATATTTTAGGATGTAATCATAAACCAAACTTGAAGGACTTTGTCCACAGCAGTTTTAATTATGTGATAAATTATTTGGCAAAAAAGTAAATTTGGAGTAAAGCTGCCCAAATTAAATTTTTATTTCATTCTAACACTCTTATTGGGATTTGCGGTGCTCGTTGGGAGTTTGTGTTCTGGGATGTATGCAACATTTACAAATGTCTTCAGTCTTCTTCTTAAACCCTGAATCACTCTCGTCACTTCTCTATTTGATGTATGACTCACACGCTACAGGCTTTCTTACACTATAAAGTGCCTTGAGATGATTTATAAGTATAAGATTTGGTGCTAAAATGACATTTATATGGTGGTTAAAACGAGTCTATTTGTGTGGTCAATATTTAATCTGTCAACACTACAGGGCGCTTCTGCACAGGCTGCGCCTCGGGGTCAGGGAATACCCATCTGATTGTCAAATGTCTCATCTGAAAATCCACTACTGTGCCTGAGGCCTTGGCGCTAGTTCAGGAATAGTGGATGTTGGCCGATTTTTAGCCTGCAGGTTTTTCAATAAGCACAGCCTTCACACATCACTGCTCTCCTCTCACAGCAGGACGGCTCCTGTTACTTTAGATGGAAAAATGTGACATAAGCAAACTTTAAACACCTGCCTAAAGTCCCAGTCTTAATTTTTTTTGGCAGAACTGCCAGTCGAGTATCTACGTCACTATTAAAATGTGCATCTTAGCTGAGGTAAAACTATACTTTAAGTGTAGAAAAAGATGACATTTAGGCATGTCTATGATCTGAAATTATGTAGTATTCCCTGTTTAAACACTAAGTAATGTGTGAGGCTCCCTACATCACTAGTTTGTTTATTAAATGTACAGTAGACAAGATCAGTGAGCGGAGAACTATCATCTATAACAGCGGTCCCCAACCTTTTTTGCGCCACAGACCGGTTTATGCCCGACAATATTTTCACGGACCGGCCTTTAAGGTGTCGCGGATAAATACAACAAAATAAAACTAGTACCGGTACCGAACAAAAGATTTATTCATAACACATGTGAAAAGACCCCGGAAAACCGAGTTAACGATAAAAACAATAACAAAATAACGCTGAAAACCGATAACAACCCCGAAAACCATACATTTCAGACCTGAGCCTCAACTCTCGCGGCCCGGTACCAAACGACTCACGGACTGGTACCGGTCCGAGGCCCGGGGGTTGGGGACCGCTGATCTATAACACCTGAAGTCACAGGGGTGTCCAAAATGATGTATAGTTACTTAGGACTGGGCTGATAAAAATCTCTGAGATGTACATGAGCAAACAGCTGCCTTCAGGCTACACTTTTAAAACTGACCCAAGAAAAAGCAGTTTTGTTGAGGTTCATCAGTGCAGAAGCAGTCTCTGCTGGCTCCAACTCTGATCCGTTTTCAATCTCACCAAATGTGAGGCACAAACTACGTCATGCACTCCAGCGCACTGTGTTTAGCTGCTGGACTAGAGACTAGACATGCTGGCTGGCAGCCAGTTGGGATTTCTGGCCCCATGGGAGTAATGTGTGGTCAGGTTACCTCGAATGTGAGCTTATTCGACTCGTGGAGATTGGATGTTCTATATAATGAGCACTTCAGAATCAAAGTGTCAATTTAGTATTTATTGCTTTAACATACTGCTAGAACAGAGAGGTTTCCTCTCCAGTATAAATTAATGCACCAATATCTACAGTACTTCAAAATAAACATTATGTACAAAGAGGAAGAAGAGCAAACAATTCTTCCTGTACAGTATTTGGAGTTAAAAACTGTAAAAAGCAGCATACATGTATATAAACTTCTGCTCATACAAACAGAATCAAACATCATTTGCGAACACGTGATTGTATTTGTTCTTGTGTAGCCGTCCAGGAGACACATGTAAACCTCTGATTCTTTCTGGTCTAAGCTCACTTCAAAGCTGTCCTCCTTTTTCCTGGTGAGCAAACACTCCAGGTCCACGTAAAAGGATAAAGACACCTTGTCTGGCTGTTTGTGTGTGTTTTCCCACACTCCCACAGAGGACCAGCTGTGTTAACAGTAGTTGTGAGCAGCTCAGGTGTACTCGCACAGGTGACCGCAGCCGGCAGGGCAGTGAGCGCTGCTTTTGAGCCAGTTCATCATGTGCTCCAGATGTCCACCGTGGCTGCAGCCCTGACACCACACGAACAGTCCCTTCACCACATGGTGACACACGGCGCATACACTGGCACACTGGTGGCACCTAAAGGAGAGACACACGGCAGCTGTCAGAGCTCATTCCTGTCAGTCCGGGAGAAACCAACACTCACGCAGCACATACAAGCTGCAACTCTGGAACCCACCCAGTATACTCACTGGTCCATACTGCCCTATCACTTACAGGTGTTTGGGTTTTTTAGTGGTCTTTATTAAATCAGAATGATGATGATAATAAACAGACTTAGGCCAAGCAGGTATTCTTCCTAACCAAAGGAGAAAAAAGAAGCAGTTTTGTTGCTTTAAGACAAGTTTGTAAAACCTTTATTTATACAGATAACATCAACTCAATGTCTCATTTAAAACAAAGCCCTGTTCCAGACAAGCATAATAAAATTACAATTAAAAATAATGAAAATGGTGTTCTTGTTTTTAATATAAATAATAACTTCCAAATTCAGAGGAGCTTGTAGACAAAGGCTTGATATTTACTCCCATTTCCACCTTAACCATTTCATCCCCCAAATAACCATGAACCATTTAAATTTTCCTCACAATTTGCTCTGCACACAGGGCAAAATCTAGGTGGATTTTTCTGTTTGTGTTCAGACAGTGATACATGGTGAATGTTTTATGTTACCACGATGCACCGAATACCCTGTAAATATCTTCTTTCTAAAACCATTTTAATTTTAATAAACGGTAAGGGAATTATGGTCACTTTAAGAGTTCTCCAGGTTGGACACCCCCCCAAACACTTAACTGGAAGCGTCCAGGAAGCATCCTTATTAGGTGCTCGAACTTTAAGTCACTCCTTCCCGTGTGGAGGAGTATCAGCTCAACATCCCCTTCTGACCCCACCTTTAAGGATCAAGCTCAGTCACCCTTTGGAGAAAACTGATTTACATCGCTTCTGTCCCCAATGTCATTCTTTCAGTCACCACGCTGAGCTTGTAGCCACAGGTTAAAGTAGCAACAGAGATCTAAAGCTTCGCTTTTTCACTCCGTTCTCTCTTCACCACAACTGATGCAGCAGATGCGGCACTACACCTGGAAGTCGCTGCACCACTCTCCCCTCACTCATGAACAAGACACTGAGGTATTTAAACCAAGGCCTTAGACTTTGAAGCGCTAATTCTTATTCACACCGTTTCACATTTTTCTGCAAAGAGAGCTGGAGGTCATCGTCTGATAAAACCAGAGGAACCACATCATCTGCAAAAAGCAGAGATGGAGGCACCAAAGTGGACAGCAACTAAAAATTCTATTGATGAACTGAATCAGTAACCAGCCAGAGTCCAGTGCTCACTGGGAACAGGTCCAGTTAATCCTGACCATACGAACCCAAAACACCATCCCAGAACTATTTCAGCACATACACCTTAATGAAACGGTGCCACAGTGTTCATACCTGTCACAAATCCAGCCCTTGTTGCTCATTGGTCGCTTGCAGTTGCTGCAGTTGATGTGCAGTGTAGTTGATGTCTGGTTCAGGCAAGTGATGGCGCTGCATGTGCTCAGTTTGATGACCTCATTGGACACGTTCCACAACTCGAATCGCTGCAGCAGGTCTATGTAGGACATGTACCAGTGCTCCTGAAACGGAAAAATAAAAGTAACTGCTCAAACTGCAATCCGTGCTGTCACTGTATCGCTAACCTTGGATGTTTTTAAGCTACAAATACAATTTAAGGTCATATAAAAGGCCTAAATTTCACTTGTTTCTAACATTTAACAAAACAGAGTTGTTTTTTTGTTTCACTAACTGACCTGGGTGAGGTCATCGATCTCTTTGCGAATCCGATCCCCCAGAACAATAAGCACCGACACGGCCATCTGCACATCGCCCTGCTCAGCGTAGTAACTCAGCATCTCCCGCACAATGGGGCAGAAGAAACTGGCGGGCAGATGTGGACTGAACAGCGGCTGGGAGATGGAGATGAGAGAAAAAGATTCGATGGGTGTCAAACAGGTGACTTCGGCCTCGTTGCCGCTGACGTGCGGAGAGTCGGCCTTGTCCTGCTGAAGGTGCTCCGGAGCGGACGGGTTATCCACGATCTCGTGGCGCAGCTGGAAGGCCTCCTGGGGCAGCGTGTACTCCTGCTCCTCTGTTGAAACAATAGAGGCGCAGATAAGAGACAAAAGGACGCCGAGCAGGAAGACTGTTATAAATAGCAGGCGCTGACGTTGTCAGCCCTTACTGAGCAGGCGACGCTGTGACTGACCTGTTTGGTTGTCGTGCTCCATGGAATAGAGGTCATCGTCATCCAACTCGGCATCGCCGAACATATACTCAGGATGGCCCTCGCTGCCTTCAGTCTCCTCGTTTTCTGGAAGAAAATTGAATTGAATGTGATGAGTGTTGGTTTTTATAAGAACAACTAAGAAACCACTTGCCTACATCCTTTGGGTTTGGACCGTACTTCAGACGTGACAAGAATGCTTTGACAGATCATATAATGATGGTCAAAGTCAAACAATACAGATTAATCCTCACTAGTAACCTTATTTTTTAATATTCTGCTAATATTGCACCATCATTGCTACAGTGATTTCTTTTGCGAGCCATCGCCACAGACGGCTGTTTAGTGACAAGTCCGGTTAACACAGACACATGCGAACATAACTTTGGTGCCAATTAAACCCACACAGATCGGCCTCTCAAGCGTTCTTAAAGCTCACCTTCATTATTGCTGATGTATGAGTTCCCAGGCTCCAGGTGGATGTTGTCCTGCCTGCTCTCACCTTTGCTGCGCTCCAGTCTGCTCTCCGCACCCATCCCTGAACCCAGGTCCTTCAAACTGAAACTAAAAAAAAAACAAAAAAGCAACAGACACAAACTTTACCTTTCAGTCTATAGTCGTACGCATGAATGGAGCACAAAAAACCCCAACAACTCTGTTTACCTGTTCATTAAAGGCAAGGTGCCGAGTTTACCGAGGTTGTGGTTGGGACCGGGTGTAGCGAGGTTTGCAGGGTCCGAGAACATTATTCTCAGCATTGTCCATGTAGTGGAAACCTTTGGTTCAAATACAAAAAAAAAGTGATTATTCACGGCAAATATACCACAAATGAGAGTTACTGCAGTAGTATTTCCTAAAGGGCAACACAGCCACAATATCAGCGTTATGTTACAGATCCAACAGGTTCATTTGTGTTACTTACAGTGTGCTAATATGGCCTAACTTTAAATAATGCAGACAATATGTTCATAAAAGAATGAATGAAACACGACTCAATTACTCTAAGCCAGGGATGGCAAACTCATTTACAAGGCCAGTGAAACTCCCCTTTCTGTCAGCATGAAGAAGTTTAACTACACAGTTAAACTCTGAGATAGCTGAATATAAGAAAAGAGGAGCAATGTGTATGTATAATTCTGCTGTGGTAAATGAAGGAAATGTTAGGATGATTTAAAATTGGAAGATATGTGTAAAATTACAGAAAAAAGAAATTGTTTCTGTTAACAGAGAAAATATCCAGTTTTTTTGTTTCACTTTTTTTTTTTTAACTGCAGAAATTTTGCAGTAGATCATAAAAAAAAAAAAATCATCTATAACTTAATTACTTTGGTATAGCTGAGCTGAAAAGCGTATTAAAAGACAATTAAAAGTCCAAAATTGATGCCTTCCTCCTTATTTTCCAAAGCTGTCCAGTGTACCGGATTGGAATCTTTGGCAGGTCGATTCTGGCCTCTGAGCCTTATGTTTGACACTCCTGCTCTAACCCCCTTTCTTAAATTATAATCTACTCTGTATTTAATGATGCAGTGAGTGACTGGAACAGACAGTCTGATCTGAGCTCAAAGGATTAATCTTTAAAAGTCTCAGTGATTAACAACCTTTGGTTCCAGTTTTTTAGATGTAAAAATACAAACGTTTTCTGAATATTCTATGATATTATGAATATTTTTAACAGGACACTGCTAATCCAATTGTTCAAAATTTAGCATAATCTGCTCTCTTCCAGAGTCATAGTGGGACTGGAGTAAGATTGGGGTTACCAGTCCATTGCAGGGTTAACACATGCACACCTATGGCCAACTGGGAACCTTGATGTAACCTCACCTGCATGTTTTCAGTCTGAAAGGGGAGAATATGCAAACTCCACACAGCCAGCTACTCTATCGCCCAATTTACTATGATCTAAAATATTATTTAAAAGAACCAAACTCTTTTTCACAATGTCGTCCAACACAAGCCGAAGGAAAAAAAAATCTGTTTTTTCAACACTGATGTTGTTACTGAACAGAAAATATTCAATAGCTTAATATATAAATCTCTGCATTACACGTCTCATATCACTAACAAACAGCAGTACATAACAGATTTGTTCCTGTGCCGATCGGTCTGACCTGAGGTCTTTTAAGCTCCTGGGCCACCTTGGCGTTGTGATCACATAACTCAGCAAACGGCTTCCCGCTCAGGAGGTAGAGTTGTGCCGTCTTGACAAACCAGTCCATGCGGTGACTGTCCAAGTCCGTCTCAAAGACGCTGAGAGCACTGGACACATGTGCAAACTGTTCTGTCGGGTCGGGTTTCTTGAAGAAAAACATGGGGTAGCGGCGGTCGCCTCCGGGGTACGGCTTTCTGTTGGCATCACTGGTGATTAGACTCTCCTTGGCTGCAAAAGCCAAGTCACCCAGCAGTCCAAAGCACAGGCCCTCTGGGTTAGCCTTGTCCACAGGACGTGTGGCATCCTTGAACATATGCTGGTAGAGCGTACTGTCTTTAGAGCCAGAGAGCAGAAAATGAGGGTCATGCTGGTGTCGCCACACAATTCCAGTAGTCACATCCTTGTGTTCCTCAAAGGTAGCAAAGGGAATAAAAGGTCTGCGGATATCCCACACATAGATGTTATGGTCCACCATCATGGAACAGGTGGCCAAATGAAACTTTCTCTCAGGTCGCCATTTAACTCGTGCCACTGAAGCAATCGTCTGGACGCAGTAGATCTCCTTGGCTCTGTTAGTGGTCATGTCCCAAACCTTCACCATCTTGTCCCTGCCCCCCGTTGCCAGCCAACCCCTAAAATGAAACGAGGTGAATGGCGACAACTGTGTTAATTCAGGCTTCAAAAAATGGGTCTACTGCTCTACAAGGTTACAAAAAACATGTTAGCAAGGAAAGGCTGAAGTTTCTTATTTCGTGTCTCATATTTCTTTTCTTACCTGTCATCAGGATGCCAGTCACAGCAAAACACCGGACCGGTGTGAGCAGTGAACATTCTCTCATAGCGGTCCGGTCGTCTAATGTCCCACAGCTGCACGTTGCCATTTTCAAAGGATGCGGCGAATGTGAAATAATCCTTCATGCTGAACTGGACGTCCCTTACACTCTCTGACTGACCTAGAAGAAACAGGGGAAGTTAAGGGATGACAGCGTTACTTCTGACAAGTGAGAAAGACTTCATTACATTAGGTGAACCATAAAAGTGTTATTAGTTCAGTGTCATAAGTCTAAAACTGGAGTTAACTCCTTCTTCATTAAATCACTCTTTTCCTGTAAAGAAAAAAAGGTCTTTCTTTAATTTCATGATTTTATTTTCACTGTTTAGTGAGAAATTCTACATTTTGTATCTCTCTACCACATCTACAGCAATCCAACCCTTTACAGCTCTGAACCACAGACATCAAAGGTGTCAGTATAGAGGGAGTTCTGTAGTGTACGCATTGTAAAGTTCTCACGTCACATATTCTCAACATATTAAAAAGAAACAGCGCTACTGTTTCATGCAAAGACTTACGTTACATTACACATGAAAGAGTTGTTGCAAACTAAATTACCTGAGAAAGTGCTCACAGACTCCTTCTTGCGCAGGTCGAAGCACTTCATGAAGCCGTCCTGTGAACCACTTAGCAGCATGTAAACCTCTGTTGGGTGGAAGCACACTTTGTTGACGGTGCGCTTGTGCTCAGTAAACAGCTGGTCCTGCTTGTTGCGAGAGGGTTTTCCCAGATTCCACGTCACCACCGCCCCGTTGGTGGCCGCCGTGGCCAGCAGGTTCTCCTCCATCTGATGCCACATGACATCGGCGCAGCTGAAGTTCAGCGACGGTTTGCGGCCGACGCGGAGATTCAGTTTTTCCACGAACTGCTCCTCCTCGAGTGCGTAGATCTTAAAAATGTTCCGTCCTGCTACAACCACCTGCGTGGCATCACGGCACACGCTGATGGCGTTAGCCGGCGCGTCCAAGTGGCAGAACATGGTTTTGCCACTGATCGCATTGCTGCCAAGAGCTGTGGTGACCCTTGACATTTTTTCCATGTTTCTGTTGCAAAAAATAATAATAATAATATCAAAGACAATATACTTTGTCCGCGCTATCAGGTCAAACCCAGTTAATGTGACATGAGGCATTAGGTACAGAGCTACAAATACAAACTTACAATAAGGCTGTTAGACTCCACCAGCAGGTGGCACTCAAGCAAAATAATAAGTTAAGAGTTATACAGCACTTTCTAGACTGGGTGGCAGCATGTCACAAATCAATAATAACCTGTGTCATATGTATGTCATCTGTTAGTTAAACATGTGTAACAGCTTATTAATGCAAATATCTAGTCAGCCAATGGCAGCAACTCAGTGAACTGAGGCATGTTGTTTTCTTGGAGATGACCAGTTGCAGTTCAAACGGAGCATGAGAATGGGACAGAAAGTGGATTTAAAAGACTTTAAATGTGGCATTGTTGGTGGTGCCAGACAGGCTGGTCTGAGCATTTCTGAAACTGCTGACCTGCTGGGATTTTCTAGGGTTTAAAGAGAATGGTCTGAAAAAGAAAAACTACCAAGTGAGCAACTCTCTGGGTGAAAATTACTTGTTGATGTCAGAGGATAATAATCAGAGTGGTCTGAGCTCATAGGAAGGAAACAGTATGTGAAATAACAGCCCAACACAACTAGACCATGCGGAAGAGCATCTCTGAATGTACAACACATCAAACCTTGAAGCAGCAGAAGACCACTAACCGTGAGTACCACTGCTGTCATAAAAGAACAGGAAACTGAGGATACAATTCAAATTCAACCAGGCTCACAAAATCAGTCTCAATTTCTGCTTTTACATTTAGATGGTAGGGTCAGAATTTGGCATGGATCCACCCTGCCTTGTATCAAAGCTTTAGCCTGGTGATGGAGGTCTAATCGGTCTGGGGGATTTTTTTGGCACACTTTGTCTCCACAGTCACCAAATCTCAGTGTACTAGAGCACCTGTTCAATCCGCAGCGACTCTGTGATGCTGTCATGTCAATATGGACCAACATCTCTGAGAAATGTTTTCAGCACCTTCTGACTCTATGCCACTTTTAATTAAAGCACCTCTGAAGTAGAAACGGGTTCCAACCCGATAATAGCAAGGTGCACCTAATAAAGTGGCCGGTGAATGTTTATAGAATGCGATGACATTCTGAAATGTTGCAGTGAAGTTACACTACCCGACACGTTATTGCTTTAAGTGCATGCAGTTTCTAAATACTCTTACGTATCCTGCTTTTAGTACAAGCTCACCCTGTGGGTTTGCTTGATCTACTCATCCTCTTACGACTTGTAGCCGCTTGGTACTCACGTGATTTACTCCACCAAGTAACATAAACACACACTAGCTGGCAATGTGGCTAGTGTTTATGCATACTAACACTTTAACCGTTCACCTTCTTAATGCCACGTGTTGTTGGTGTTTATAGTTACTTCTAAATGTGTCTTTACACATCTATTTGTGACTAGTAATCGGCTTGTAGTTTACGCGTCTCCTGCTAAGTTGGCCACAAGCTGCAGAACTCTCTGTACTTTGACCATAAACATGACTGGAATGACATGCTAGTGCTAGCTGGCTAGCACCACTCGCCGAGCAGGTTTGCAAAGACAAAGCGCAAACGCTACAAGTATTTAAACAGTCTGACAGATAATTTAAAAATCTATCAAATTAAGAAAATTCACGCGCATAAAGTAAAACACAAACAACTTCTAAGGACAAACCTTGTGCTGTGAAGCTCACCTTCTTGCAGCACCGGAAGTAGTATTTTGTTATCATCTCGCGGGATTTCCGTCTGAAATAACAGAAGCGACCATCACGCGGCAAAAACTTACTACTGAGCAGACGTTAGAAACGATCTGGGTGGGTTTGTTTTTATGTCATGTGTATTTCAAAATAAAGGTGACATTTTCTGAATCACCGCAATACATTAGGGCGAAAGCAACACTTGTTAAGCTCAATGTTATTTATTTGGCTGTGTAAAATAAATGCTTCTGTGTTTGTAGGTGATGGTGTGAGCTTTCTGCTGTCATGAGCGCTCTGTTTGCATGTGAGGAGCCAGCCCCATGGAGGAAAGTGTATGAGACATACTGGGATGTAGTGGAGGCCAAGGCCAAAGTCAAGAAACCTGGGAAGCTGCTGGACCTTGAGCGGTGGTAATCCCCTATTCCACCTTTTTATCCATGTCAGCTGCGATTTAAAGGTCTCCAGAAAACTGCGAGCGGACCTGAAGTTGGGGTTGTATAGTAGATACCTTCTGACCTGGTTTTACCACAATTGATGACTGTTAATTTAAAATTGAATGTGCTTTTTTAATTGAATTTAACTTGGATGAGTTGGCTTTGCTTTGACTGTAGGATGAAAGGTACACAGATCCTAATCAGTTTCTGCGTGTGATCAGGTACCAACAGGAGCTGCCCTCACTGATTTCAAGTCGGCCTGACAAACAAGTCTCTCTATCAGAGCTAAAGAAACTGATGGAGTGGAAGCTCACTGTGAGTTATTATTTCTGGACTCTAAATCAAAAATACAAACTTGACATTCAGGTGTGTACAAGTTTGAAATTATTTTTGGATTTTCACACAGGGTCAGGGTTATACACACACCCCACTAATATTTGGTTAAATGTCAACCTCAACCAGATGCTTCTGGCATAATTCTGGCTGAATATTTAATCACTCTTTGTGGCAGAATTGGTAGAGTTCATTTAAATTAGTTGGCTTCCTGGCACAGTCCCTGCTTTTTAATTCAGTTTTATTTATAGAGTGCCAAATCACAACAACATTCGCCTTAATGCACTTTATATTGTAAAGACTCTACAATAATATAAAGAAAACAGAGAGACCCCCAACCGTCATATGACTGCCCCTATGAGCAAGCATTTTGGCAACAGTGGGAAAGAAAAACTTCCTTTTAACAGGAAGAAATCTCCAGCATAAGATAACCTCACCTTTAGATACCTCTTGTGCTCTTGTCATTGTCATCAAATAGCTCAATCTTTGCCTTGACTGACCGTAAAACTTTTCTTTAAAAGGCATTTGGCTGGTCCATGTGGGTGGCTACCAATTTCAGTTGAGTTTGAAAGTGCTGACTTTGACGCAGATCTTGTTTTTTTTAAATCATTAAAGATGTATGCTGTACAATCATTACATCCTGGGAAAACAACAGTTCAAAGTAATCATTAAAAATCCAAAATCACCATGACATTTACACACATAGTGAGTGTGTGTAAAAGTCTGAGTACTTCTGTATGTTTCCTCAGCACTTGCCTCCTTTACAAGTGCATCTGTTTCACACATTTCAACCACATGCACCAGTAATTACTCCTTCAAACACGTAGTATAGCTTTGAAATAGCATGAAGAGTCTTAAAGCACTCCCTTCATCAGATGTGTCCTTGAGTGGCCCTGTGGGCTTGTCTGCAGAGAGGGAAGTTCAGGCCGAGGCTGCAGCAGCTGGTGGCTTCCAACAGCGAGGACGAGGTGGAGAAATGTTCCAGAAAGGCCTTCACCCTTCTGCCTGACGTGCAGGCCGCTATCGCAGAGCTCAGCTCCCTGAAAGGAGTCGGTCCAGCCACTGCTTCAGGTCGGCACACCATCTTTTCTGGGATATGAAGACGAACGTATGAAAATTTCTCTGTGATCCTCTCCAAGTTTACAGAACAGTGCTTAGATTGAGTAGGCTGTAACTCTCTGTACTCTGTGTAGAAAAATATATGCACTCGATGGGTGCGTTCAGCGTAGCTTGAGGCTGACTGTCCATCTTGTTCCAGCTGTGTTAGCAGCGGGAGCTCCAGAACAGGCTGCGTTCATGTCTGATGAAGCCATGGAGAGCGTACCGGGACTGAAGCCCATCCAGTACACCGCCAAGCACTACACAGTGTACCTGGAAAAGATGACTGAGAGGACCGAAAAACTAAACAGAGGTAATGACACCAAGCTGGCTACGTCGTCATCTGCAGTATAGACACTACTCATTAAAATACCACATTGGCCTGTGTTTAATGTGCCATTTTAATGCCTTTATTATATATTTGAATGGTCGTGTTGTGCAAAAGTGCTTTACCAAAAAGCTTTTGTATTGCCTCTCGCCCCTCAGTGGATCCGCTGCAGGACTGGACGCCCCACAGGCTGGAGCTGTGTTTGTGGGCGATGAGCATAGCCACACAGCTGCAGCTCCAACTTCTAAAGGACATCGATGTGAGGGGGAGCGCAGTGGGGAAGAAGTGCTCCGACAGCGAAGCTGACCAGAGACCAACAAAGAAACTCAAATCTGCATAAAACCGAACATTTTACATGAATGCCGATTTAAAATTTGTAGTTTTTTTCCTTTTTCCAAAATGATAATAAAACCTTTTTGTGGTAAAGTGTTGCGGATCAACTAATCCGTCACGTGTCTCAGTTAAATAACGTCAAAAGCAGTAGGATGTTGCCACAGTATTGTTCTTTATTTATATTGTTTCTAAATTAAAGCAAAGTACAATGAACAGTACAAAATAAAACAAAATATATTCATATATATACACAATATAAAATGGTTCCGTTCAGAACATTTAAAAAGTACAATAGATTGTGAAATCATTAATGAGGACTTTGATATAAATTATCCATAGGTAAATTTAGCTGTCCTTCAATTTCCTCTTGACAGAGAGGAAAAAAAATAGCTTCTTCTTGCTTGTTCTTTTTGTAAACGCTGTGTTGGTACAACCTCTTGTCTGGGTCTGAGAGGCTGAACCTCGTAAGCTTGGCACCATTTTATAGATACGAGTAAGCAGCTCATGAGAAACTACTAGAGCAGCGCAGGTACGACTTTTGTCATCCTAAACTGTGGGAGGGGTTCAACTCTTGCTTTATGAAATGACATGTTTGCATGATATCGTGTGGCTCAGCATTTGCGATCATACTAAAGCTAGAAAATGAGGTTTCAGCTGTGATCCCTCCTCTCCACCTTTTGTTTCATCTGTACTCTAAGACAGACTTCACTAATGACTGTGTGGTTTGCAAGTGTATCTTAAATTTTAGCAGCTAGGTGGGCCCTGACTGTCATTTTCTTTTGTATCAATATTGAGATTAATGTGGGAAATCAAACTAAATATCTTCTGGGGCCCTTTAAGAACCTTTACTAAGTTTAAATGTAAATGTCCACTCACTCTTGTTTGTAGATCAGCTACAGTGCTATATCTAAGCAGAACTAAACACACAGAAAAGGCGACCTGGCCGGCCTGTTGTGGCACACAGCAGTTCAGAGGAGCTACTGGACACACGGATATTTGCACTGTGGTTTCCGTCTCTTATGGATTCTCTGCATCGTCGTGTAGATGGCTGACAGCGAAGCAGCCTTTCTGCCTGGTGCTTTGCTTTGAGCTCATATATGTAACAAGGCATTGGGCGTACAGCACGATGGATTGGCATAAGAAGGTTAAAGGAAAAAAGCTTCAGAAGAATGATTATGTCAAATGAGACTATGGCACACAGCAACGTGTCAACAGTTAAGTACATTATAAGAAGTGCAAAAACAAGAAACAAAACACGTGTGACAAAAACCAAGAAGTCAGAAACAGCCAGCGTCGAGTATGAAGCTATAAAGTTGCATTTTGAATGAGGCGAGTAGAAACTTTTAGCCTGATCTCATAACGCAGTCATCGTGACCACTTTGAGACAATTCGGGGGAGGACATGGATCATCTGTAGTGATGGATTATAGGCTGCTCGCGCCATCCCTCACAGAGACTTCCTGTCGACTGTCAAAAACAACTACGTCACCTAACGACAGCAATTAAATTAACATCATGCCGCCTTGTCAGATCCACTTATTAAAGGAAGACATCCTGTTTAGGGTCTGGCTTCGGGCTCTCGTCGTCGTAGCAACCATGTATCAGCCCTACTCTGCACAGGGAGGAGGGTCAGGATGGGGGAAGCTTCAGGTGTCTCTCACAAACTGTCACATGCTGTCAGAGCTAGAGTCTCCTCTCCTTTAAGATGAGCTGGAGGATGTAAAGCAGGGGCATCTAAGGAGGCGAATCCAGGTGTGTTGTTGCTGTGGTTGGCTCAGGCTCAGGGGCCAGGAGAGTTGGCTTACAGGAAACTGGTAAATTAATCCTAAAAACTTCTCTCCTACTTGGTTTTTTCTTTTCCTGACAATGCTACCGAACGCTTTGCTCTTAAAATAAATAAATTCAAACACTAGCCGTTTCACTTTGTACAGCCTTTCACTTTATTCCTGCATCTAGTTCTGGGAGTGGTTATATTCACAGTTGACGTGTTCTACAAAAACATAGCCATTGACTAGCCCTTTTTACAACCCTTTCGGGTTCCTATGAATCTTAAGTTAAAGAGGCACATTAACCTCCTCTCAGGCATCCGCTTTATCTTCATTATAGGCTAACAGGGTATGTATGCATTATTCATCAACACATCTTTGCTATCCCAAGCAGTAATATTTCCTAGTCAACACAAGAGTTTCCATCAGGGATACATCGCTATCAACTACTGGCTGACCTTGTCTTGTTTAAATGTATCTGAAAATGGCTTATTATGGCTATTTCACACTCATTTCCTCATTTAACATGGAGTCCTCTGTCACTACTGACAGTTTCATGTGGAAGCAAACGCTGAGGATGGCAAGACTGGCAAATGCTAAAAAAAAATTTTTCCTCCCTCAGGCAGCCAGTGGACATCCAAATGAATTATTGATTGAAAGACTGAAAAATGGAACGTAGCATTGAGTAAATATAATTGCCATCCTCGCCTCGACTTTCCAAAAAGCCCGAATCACTCAGGAGATAAAATATATGACAGGAGCCCTGTCCATAATTTGTTATTTGCAGAAGAGGAACTGCGGAGAAGCGTCCGCACGCCGCAGGGGGAAGAGAGTGGGCACTTGCAGAATTAAGCTGCATCGGCTGCAAACGAATTGGCGAACAAGTCATAAATAAAAAGGAAAAAAAATGAGTCTAGCTACATGAAAATATCTCAAACAGTCCAAGGTATCACAGGCGTGTCTTCTTTTCATTTCACCTGCTGAATATTCACAAAGAGGAAATAATTTTTCATCACTCTCTCTCACACACACATACACACACACACGCAACCATGAAGTCTAAACAGAAGCTACCAGTCAGCGCATTTCAAACCAACAAATGTGTTTTTTTTCTCTCGTTTTTTTTTCTGCCTCTGCTTCTGCCATCTCCTTTTAGTTCTTTCTATGGCTTATTTTGTAAAGCACTGAAGATTTATAAAACCAGGTGAGCTCGACTTGTTGGTGGTCGCCTAACAAACCCGGGGGATTCTGCCTCTCTGTGTTTCAGAGGATCAAAGCCATACAGGAGTCATCAGAAGGACAACAATCATAGCATTAGTTTTGTTTGCACCATTTTTCTCTTTTCCCCTTTAAAGAGGGGGGAAAAATACAAATAAATATACTCTTGGTTATGAACATACAATATACACATCCACGATCAAATGAAAAACGGGGACAACTTATAACACTTTTTTTTTCTTTATAGGTACATTCCTTTACAAATGTATACAGTCCCTAAGAATGAGAAACTGAGGTATCGACCGGGCCTGACGTAGAGACCCCAATGCCCTCTGGGAAACAAAGGTCAGAGGTCAGGTGATGACACATCCGTGCCCTCCCCAGTTCAGTCTGTCAGCGAGAACAGGCCAGTGTGTGTGTTTGTGTTGTTTTTCTCCTCGGTTTGCCCACAATGACCTGCAGAATCAGGCCGCGGCTACTTTCAAAGACAAAGAGGAGAAGATTGTGTGTTTGTGTGTGTGTCTTTGTCTCGCTGAGCGCCACAGAGCATGACATGGCATATTTTACATGGTGCGTTTAGCAAGTTGGTGGCTGAAGTCCGAGTTCGCTCGCCGAAGTGATGACCATCCAGGAAACTTCAGCTCTCGTTTTCTCATCTTTTTCTTTCCCTTCCTGTCACGCGGTCACTTTAATCTCCCACCTCCACGTGTTGACGTCATTGTGTGTTTTTGTATCCACAGTGTAGGTATATTAGCAAGGAAATAATACAGAAATAGTGACGTCCGTCTTTGTTTTTAGGATTCCGTGAAGCGAAAAATGATAACCTTGAAATAACCTTGAATATGACAGACGTTAGGTAAGAAATCATGAATCTAAAACTTCCTCCTTCCTTCTTTCTTTCTTCTTGTAACAAATTTCTTTCATCACTTTTAACTGGTTTCTTTTTGTCCTACATGGCAGCTCAGTTTGAGGGAAAAGCTTTGCTAGTTGTAACATTTCTCAGCTGAAAATGAAACGAAAACATTATCTTGACGCTTAGATTTAACTGCTTTTGTGGGCTTTTATTGCTGCCTTTAAAAACAAAAGAAAAAACAAAACAAGCATTTCCTGAAATTTCTCCTAAAATCCTCTCAGGCGGGTCTGATTTGTGGCACAGATTGAGGCGTTTCTAAGCGAAAAACACCGACACCTTATTAGCGTAAAGCGTCACTGCTGCGGCTGATCCCGATCTCTCACCTCTCATCCCTTTTAATTCATCTTCCTTTCCGCCCCAGGCACATGTCATGAGCTCAGATTCTTCTAATTTGGTTTTTACATGAATGAGAGATGCACTCAAAGAAATAAGTGACGAAAACTGCTTTTCAAAAAAAAAGCTTCTGATAGTAAAAGAGCACAATGGTTAAATGCTCATTGAAAGGTTAGTGCTGGTAATGTGGATGAGCTTTTTTCGTATATATATTTATATATATATATATAAAAACGATATTAGGCTCCTCAAAATGGATCTGAGGACCTTTCACCTGTACGTCTTGCTACTGTAATCCCTCTTTAATAAAAGAGACATATTTCTTTGATTTGCAAAGTATTTGTAAAAAGGATTCTTGGTCGATTTTTAGTTTAGATGATTTCATTTGGGTCGAACTTGAGAGGAAATGTAAAGTTAACTATGGTCGAAGGGGAACCTCTGAAGTCACCGTGTATATGACCGCAGGGGGGAGGGTGGGGCCCATCATCAGGGGGGAGGTGGTATCTGTACCCCCAGGAGCTCATACGCAAAGATGTTCCAAAAGATGGCGAAGAGAAGGAAGGTGATGAAGGAGAAGACGATGACCCACCAGGAGCACTGTTTCTGCAGACTCTCCTCGTAGCTGCGCAGGATCAGCAGGCCCATGCTGATGCCGACCACAGCCCCCGACAGGTGTGCCATAAAGCTGGGCTGCGGTCCGGAGGAGGGCAACGGCGGCGAGAAACGGAGCCAGACTGCACGACCCACCTCTGAACTCACTGCAGAGGGAAGAGGGGAGAAGACACATTTGTCATATCGGTGTCTGCTCATTACTGCAGCTGTGAGGAAATCATCTCCTAAGTCCACATTTTGGGAAACATACTTGTGAAGGAGAGCGAGTTAGATGGGAAGACGGATACCAGTCTCTGATTGATCTGTTGATAAATATGCAAGGTGCAGGCAGCAGCTGATGAGCTTATCTAAGCAAAAAGACTGGAAACATGAGGGAAACAGCTGGCCTGGCTCTTTTCAAAGGTCACCAACTCCAGCTATCAGCAACAGTGAATAACGCATTATATCTAATTTATTCAATTCATAAAAAATGTTTAAAAAAACAACAACAATTCAAAGTCAAAAAAGGAAGTCATTTAATGAGCATTTCTTAGGTGGGACCAGTAACATCCTGAGTTTGACATGATAGCATTTATATGACCGGGCATTCTACTAGTCTGCTAGGACTGGGTTGTACTTTCAGATCTGCTACAACACTTCATGGCATAGATTCAACAAGAAATTTTGGGCCACATTGATGCGACAGCATCACGGAGTCACTGCACATTTGTCAGCTGCACATCCATGATACCAAGCTCCTGCTGAAGTTGGCTGTGGCGTTAAAACAATACTCAGCCGGTACTAAGGGGTCAAAGTGTACCAAGAAATGTACCTCCACACTGTTTATACAGGGCAGGATGGAGCCATGCTCTCATGTAGCCGATGCTAAATTCTTACCCTACCATCCAAATGGTGCAGTAGAAATCAAGACTTGTCACACCACAATGTTTTTTTCAAATCATACAATTTCTACCTGCACTCATTAGACGTTGGAGGCTGTTATTTGAGTTACTGTTATCTTCCTATCAGTTTGAAGTTGTCCAACTAATGTTGTCTCACCTCTGGCATCAACAAAGCATTGTGACCCAGAGCAGTGAGAGAAATGTCTAGTTTCTCTTTTTCAGACCTTTCTTGTAAACACTAGAGGTGGCTGTGTGGGAAAATCCCTGCAGATCAGCAGTTTCTGAAATACTCAGACCAGCCCGTCTGGCACCAACAACCATATCACAGTCAAAGTCGCACACCACCTTTTTATCCTCATTCAGATGCTCAGTTTGAACTGTGGCAGGTAGTGTTCACAAAGTGGTTGGTAAATATATGAAACTCTGAAAAGTATTCATTATGTTTGAGTGTTTTAATGACAAATCTTTCAGTGATCTATAACTTTAAGTCTATTCAGATTTCCACACACAGATTCTGAAAGAAGAACTTTTTGTTGTCCTTAAGCACAAGACGCCACGTGCATCACTCACTTTGCATCATATAAAGATCAGACCCTAAGTCTGAGCTGGGCTAATGTGACTGCTTAAAGATGATCTGTGTGGGGGATTGTGCTAAAGTGTTTTATCAAAGTCTGCTTCTGCAGACAAAGGTCTCACGAGGATTTAAATGGAACTTTATTCGAAAAAATTGCTTTCAAAATATTATTCGCGTGGTCGTTGGGGCTATTCCAAAGTCTCTTTAGCTGAACAAACACTCAGCACTGATCCTATAAACACAGAGCAAATTATAATTTGGTTTTCACAGCTGCACACACAAATAACTTGTCGCGTTTTATTTTGAAATATCCGTCCCCTGTTTGGAAAACACTGAGGAGAAATATGAAATTCCAGCAGAGACTCGCCGCTCTCTCGGTTCGGGGGCGGCAGGCTTTGGACAGATGGAGGGAACATATTGCTCACTAATGAAAGTCAGAGTGTATCGGCCCTCGTGTGGAGAAAAGGGACAAGTAGTATGACTCAAATGCTACGAAAATAAAGCAGCATGTTCAACCAGGGAGCCTCTCGCTCTGGGCCATTACGGATGTTGATCGGCCTTACGTGTTTTTAACCCCACTCAGAAAATGTATGAGCTATACTGAAGTGTCAGCATGTCTGCTTACATTAAACATATGCGGAAAAAGAGCAGAAATAGAAACGAGAGTAAAATCTAGAAAACTTACTGCAAACTAGCGCCAGGATCATGCGGAGCAGCTTGTATGGACAGCGCATCCCGGCCCAGTTCTGCAACACAGAAGTGTCCTGTCAGCACAAACAACCACAGAATATCTGACCATGTTATAACAGCCCGTCAGGGAACACCTCACTTTCTCTCCTCGGGCCATATTTAGACTATGAAGAAAGACAATCCACATCCACGACAGAGAGAGGCGGCGGCGCTTACACGAGACAGAGGCGCGATTATGCACCTGGCTGCTCTCCACTTACTGGTTCCAATCCAGTAGCACTCTATTAATTAGGACGAAGATAATTTAAGGGAATGGCAAAATGGACCAATAAGTAGCCTTTGTAAATCCCTGCGGGGGGGGGGGAGAACAATGGCATCCTGTCTTAGAATAACACATTTACTTTCCAGGATGAATAATTGCACCAGTCCCATCCTTTCTCAGGTCCCCAGCTGTTGGGAATATGACCCAGCGCTTCTCTTTTTCTCTCATGGCACAAAAAGAAATGGAGAATACCATGTAAAATTCAGGAGGGGTGTATAAATAAAACCTGCTGTGACCGTAAGTTTAAAACAAGCCAAGAGCAGGAATGCAGGTAAAGTTAAAGTAGTTTTTTTGGAAAAATATAAATGATTAATGTTGAGGAGGGGAGAGGTCAGCACAGCAGAGTGGGAGAGGAGGTCTGAGCTGGGAGTGATGTGATGTTGCTTCTGTCTGATGGGACACAGTTCGCTTTGATGCTTCCACTCTTGTAGGAGGTGAAGAGCAATCTGTAGCCGGAGCACGGCCACTGCATTTTGTCTGTTACAGGTCATGTTATAATATTCAGGGGGCTGAAATGGAGAGAGACAAAACTTAATGTGGCTCCAAGACGGATTGTAAAGATTTTATCCAGAGCTGTACGTCTTCCAGGCAGTGAGGTACAGAGCCTGAAACCTTCCTGAACCTGAAACTGTCTTGGTTTCTTGAAATTTAAGAAGTCAAGATCGGAAAAGGTTTCAGAATTTCTTAACCCCTCCCCACCAAACTAGACAAAAACTCATCGGTGCAGAACTAAGAGGCGCCTTAAAGGATTTCCCAACAACAAACCGGCATCAAGCGTAACAGACCAAACAAACTGTAAGCTGCTGTGAGCACACAGTTACAGTTACAGAGGCTTTGCTTTGGGCCCGTCAGCACGTTTTAATTTCCATTTCTGCTGGCGTCCTCGCTGCCCACAGTCAACAGCGATTAGTTAAAGCCAGTCGTCAGATGTAACACCGCCTTGAGTTTAGAGGAGCATGAAGAAGCCGCCTTGTGCCAAATACACATAATTGAATGCTGGGAAAAAGAAAGAAGGCTCTCAAAGCAGCACTGTGGAAATTCACTTCCTGTTTCTTCAGCGGACACAAATAAAAACAGTAAAACACTTGCTCACTTGAGAGTTAATAATACAGATGACAAAAAAGAAAAAAGGAAGGGTCTAGTGTCTGAAGTACACCAGCCTTATACAACCTAAAGAATTAACCTTATTTTGTTAATAAGATGATAACAGATAACGAATATTGTGTGCTCGTGTGTACACGTGATCCTACTGCAGCAGAAAAACTACTGGGTACACTTTATAACCAGTAGTTTTTCCTGATTAATGTCGTAATTTCCTTGTAAATACACGGGATTTAATCTTTTCTTTTTTTAGATATGTTTACCTACAAATACTTAAAGGTGGGTACACTAGCATGAGGAGGTAACAGGTCAATTTTTACAGGAAACAACAAAGTAATCATACTGTAAGTAAATATAACTAGTGTCTAATTAATTTTACATAGTCCATGAGTAATTTTAAGTATTGGATAATTTAGTGGAAAAACAAAGGATGTTTCCTCATCTTAAGTTGTAACACTGTACATTTCGAGGCACAGGACATAATATAGAGTGGCTTAACTTTGCCTAACTTTTAAGGAATTTTACAGTATAGTTACTTACAATATCATTTATTTCTCTCTTCTTTCCAGTCTAAAATTATTACAATTATTCATGTGGTTTGCTAAATTCTTTACACACAACTTAAAATAAATAAAACTATATTTACCTACAAATACTTAGAGGTACACTAGAATAAGTGAGTAACAAGTTGTGTTTTTAGTGAAAACAAGGAAATAATTAGTAATAATAAGTAGTATAAAGGTAATTTGAAGTAGTGTCTGACTTCTGGGTATTTTACAGGAAAGAAGAGAAATAATACTGTAAATAATTTTAAAAGCTGCATAAGTTTGTGGATTTTAAGCATTTCTTAACGTTTCCACTTACAGGTATTTTACAGGAATGCAAACACAAATTATACTGTAAATAATTTTAAGCACATTGTGTCTCCTTTCCTGTAAAATATCTGGAAGTTAGGCAAGGCTGAGCCACTATATTAGAGAGCCCTGAAAAGTACAACGTAAGCTTGGGAAATATTGTTTGCCTTTCCAGTAAATTACCAGGAAATCATGCAGTACTGCAAATCACTTACAGAACAATTTGTGTCTCCATTCCTTAATTACGCACTACTTAAAATTCCTTACATGCAACTTAACTTTACAGTATAATTATTCCTTTGTTTCCTGTAAAAACCAGACTTGTCACCTCCTTATTCTAGTGTACCTACCTTTAAGTAAGTCAAGATAAATATAATTAGAATGTAATTTCAAGTAAAATACGTTGAAATTCCATTTAATTAGAGGAGAATTATAGCCTTGTTCACGGGCTAGCATTTCCTAAAAGTAAAAACAAACAAACAAAACAGTGAAGTCCACGCTGTAGGTCTGTTCTGACATTTTGTCCCTACCAAAAACCGTTTTCAGACATAACAATGGAAGCCACGATGATGATGATGATGATGATTGCAGTTACCATGACGACATTGGCCAGATGCGCTGAGCAC